TCAAATCTCCCACTTTCGGGTGAAATTCTAGGTGAATGACTTATGCTATCTTCTTCTCCTAAACAACATGGAGAGTCATTCTTTCAGGGGAAGAAAAGCTCATGGTTCCTATTAGACGAAGCAAACACTTAACCCAGGACCGCAGCTGAGTCCTCCCTTCCACCCAAGATGATCACACAGCTAATTCTTTGGAATGTTCTAAAACGTTCTGTCCAGACTGTTTTCTTGTATAAGTGCCATGCTCCTTCCACACCCTCCCGTAGGATATAGTTTCGTGAAGACAGATGCAGAGGGAAGGGATTGGGATAGATTTCCTTTTTTTACCCAGAGCTTCATGCCCCTCCCCCCAATGCTGCTGCTTTAGTATCAGGTGAAGCCATCTTCACGTAAGTTCCTCCACATCATCCTCTCTCAACATTACCTACCACGTATCTCTACTTATCAGCTCTTTCTCTCGGTTCTCCTCTTTTAACCAAGTGCAATATTTTTTTTTAAAGATAAACTTAAATCCAAGTATATTATTACATTAAAAGTAAACAGATGACATATTCCAGTTATTATGCAGAATTTATCAGACTAGATACATAATGAAGTGCAATATTTTTGTCATGATGGGTCCTTAAAGCATCTGTGTGGAAGCCTATAGTTGGAGAGGTATATAAGGGACTGTGGAGAAAAAGAGAAGGAAGGGGGGCGGGGAGAAGGAAGGGAGAAGGGGAGGGAGGGGAAAAAGAGGGCCGTGCTACCTAGGTTGGAAATTCAGAATAAGTTGTTTTGAGATGAAAGAGACTCAGCAGAGATGCTAAAGAAAGGTCTGGCACTACTTGTGAGAACAGTTATGTGAGAGATTTCTGCATTGCATTCAATGTTAAAATTGTCTGGAAAAACCTTCATTGTATAATTACAATACCATTTGATAAAGAATGGTTAGATTTCAATTCACTTTGATGTTCGTAAAACTGAACAGTTGCCTATTAAGGTGCTATTCAAAATGGCCATGGAATAGTGTGTGTGTGTGTGTGTGTGTGTGTGTGTGTGTGTGTCTGCATTTGTTTCTTTGTGTGGACTACTATCTCTCGGTATGTTTGTGTATCTTTTTTCTTCAAAAATATTTTTGCAATTTCTGGGAGCACTTTTATTTTTTCCATTTTCCACTTTATTGTTCTCTTTTTATATGTTAGTTATTAGATTTTATTGATTCTTCTTTTTAATGTTGACTGTTTAAAAAAATTTTTTTTAACATTTGTTTTTGAGAGAGAGAGAGAGAGCAGGGGAGGGGCAGAGAGAGTGTGAGACAGAGGATCCAAAGCTGGCTCTGTGCTCACAGCAGAGAGCCCGAAGTGGGTCTCAAACTGACCAACGGTGAGATGGTGACCTGCGCTGAAGTCAGGTGGTTAACCATCTGAGTCACCCGGGCGCCCCTAAAAAGTTTTAAATAATTTTTTTATCTTCACCTCTGGGTTTCTGCATGTCTTTCTTATTTCAGTTTCCTAAGTTTCTGATTATTTCCTACTCAGTGTAATTTCTTTTACTTTCTCTTTTTTTCCTGTCTACCAACCCAACACATTTCTTGCAAATGTTTCATTCTTCATGTTCCGCTACTTTGACAACTCAAAGGCCCGATTGCCCTGCGCCCCCAAAATGTAATCCTTCTCCAGGTGAAGTGAATTTGAGGAGCCCCCGGGCTCTAAAATTAGACATCAAACAGCCCTCTAGGTATTTCAAGCAGGAAGTGGTTTACTATGGGAAATTATACATTTACAAAATTCCTCATCACGAAGTTTCAAAAACCTCAGGAAACCACTGCTAAAGGTCACCATGTTGCAAAATCAAGGCTGGCAAATTCCAGGGCGAGTGCAAAGACCCCTACAAGACAAAATCTCCCGTAAACTGGCGAGCCCAGCACCGTGGAACCTAAACCAGATTCCACCCAGACAAGCTTGTGGGAAATGTAGTTCTCCGTCTTCCAGCCCCTGCTGCTGAGGGAGAGCCTACGAGGGGGGAGGGATGGGGAAGAATTGGTAAGAGGCAATCAGCTCAGTTGCCCAGTCGGTGCAAAGGGGAGCTCTCTGCTCATCTTCCAGAGAATCCTAGTGATTACATGCTCTGTACTGCTCTAGGAGCTCAATACCGCTCTGGTTACTTCATTTTCTGTTCTTCTCAGGGATTCTTCAAGGTGCTGGGGCAGGACGCTTCAAATGTTCCAGCTGAAATCCCTTCCTTTTGAAATCCGTGCCAGTATGGAAACTGTCTTCTTTCTCACCTTTCTAAAAGCACCTTACAATCCCAATAGCTTTCCATTTCTTTCCCCCAAATCTTGGCTATTTAAACTTTTATATCTTCGTTTGAGACATGAAGGTTCTAGTCTTAACATCCTTCCCAGAAAACGATTGCTCTTCCAAAATGCTCCCTGAGTGGTGGGAAGCCTGATGTGTTTATTAACAAATACACATCGTGACCCACCCTCTGGGACTTAAACTGAGATGTAAGATGACCTAATAGTTTTCTTCCTGAACAAAGGCGGTTGCTGCCCTTATATTTGTGTAAACAAAGAGTTTATCATGGTTGACTTCCAAAGTCAAAGCAGTCATCTCTTAAGCTAAGGATGCCATGGAGTAACACTTCCAGAAAGCTGTTCACTCCTCAATGACCACTGTCTTGATAAAATAATGCTAAATATCAAATTAAAAAGCTCCATTGAACTATTATTACTGCCTTTCTATACAATCTTCATATACCTTTAAATGTCGATAACCCCACATTTTTCTCCATTCACTATTTACATTAGTATCTTAGGTCATTAAATTAATCTTAAAGTTTTGAGTATTGTTTAAAAAATTTTTTTAAGTTTATTTATTTATTTTTTTGAGAGAGAAAGACAGAGTGCAAGCTGGGGTGGAGGGGGAGCACAAAGAGAGGGGGAAAGAATTGAAGCAGGGTCCAGGTTCTGAGCTGTCAGCACAGAGCCCAACATAAGGCCTGAACTCGGGATCCATGAGATCATGACCTGAGCTGAAGTCGGATGCTTAACCGACTGAGCCACCCAGGCACCCCTCAGGCATCGTTTTTAAATGGAAAGGCAAATATTTGCTTTTTAAATATCTCACTCATGATTATAGAATGTTGTTTTTTCCCCCAATGTTTGTTTATATGCGGGGACACAGACTTTATCTGAAAAAGAATGAAAAGTATTGAGGAGTTCTGCATAAGGAGGAAAGGCATTTTGGGTGGAGAAAATGCTGGAGTCACTGATTATCCTTAAGCCTAAAACACCTGCCTGTAGCAGTTGTGGTTCTTGTGTTGAAAGCATTCACAATGAAACAAAACAAAACAAAGCAGATATGGTTCTTCTGGTAGTTATTGGTTACACTAAGTAGTATCAACAATTGCTTTTTAATTCAGCTTTTAACCATTGATTTTTATCTTCATACATCTTTTAAAAATATAGGTTAAGAAACGCTCAGTTCCTCAGAGCGTTCTCAAAACGAAGCTAATAAAGGCAGGCAAGCAGCGTATGGCTTTGTTTCCATCCCCTGTAACCAGGGGACTCACTTTGACTCAAAGGAGATAATTTCTATTTATTTATTTATTTAATATAATTTCCTCTTAAAAATTTTTTAAACATTTATTTATTATTGAGAAGCCGAGAGAGACAGAGCATGAGCAGGAGAGGGGCAGAGAGAAGGGAAGACACAGAATCCAAAACAGGCTCCAGGCTCTGAGCTGTCAGCACAGAGCCCTACGAGGGGTGGGGCTTGAACCCACAAACTGCGAGATCATGACCTGAGCTGAAGTCGGGCACTTAACCAACTGAGCCGCCCAGGCGCCCCATAATATAATTTCCTCTTAACGTGCACTGGTCATGTTACAGAAGGTCGAGTTCAGACAGGGATTGGGATGCTCGTGGGAGGGGAAGGGGGCCCGTGGCGGTGGGCTGGGAATCTCTGGGGAAAGTGGCTTGAAGCACAAGACAACCTCTGCTGTCAGGTGCTCTTTCCAATGGGGGCGAATCGATTGATCTAAGTTCTTCGAAACATGTTAGATGGGTTTGTGTAATAAGTGAAAACTTAGGCGATACTGCTCCAGAAAGTTCCATCTGTGAGCAAGGTCGTGTTCATGTACCAGGTAATGCTGAGGCCGGATCCCTTGGCTCTCTCCCCAGGGTCTCCAGAGCTGCCGCCAAGAACCAAGGAGCATATCCTGGTGCGATTCAGAGCAGTGCCTCTGCCTGATAATTCTGTTCCATTTAGAAGACAACTTACAATTTTCTCAGAAAATAAACCGTTCCCTCCCCCGATGCCAGTCACGGGGGCAGGGGGGGGGGGTCCTGCAGTCAACGGGACACACATTCCTGACGTGAGTAAGAACACGGAGACAAGGGGCGCCTGGGGGCTCAGTCAGTCGAGCGTCCAGCTTCGTCTCAGGTCATGATCTCACGGCTCGTGGGTTCAAGCCCCGCGTTGGGCTCTGTGCTGACAGCTCAGAGCCTGGAGCCTGTTTCAGATTCTGTGTCTCCCTCTCTCTCTCACCCTCCCCTGCTCACACTGTCTCTCTCTCCTTCTCCTAGAAATAAGTAAAACATTAAAAAAAAAAAAAAAAAGAACATGGAGACAGGGAGTTCTGGAGCTTCTAGGCAAATATATGGATTTTCTGTTCAGGAACATTTGACCTTTCTTCTCCCACCAACTCAGATGTCTTTTACTCTAGATAAAGCCGGGACCTCAGGGTCTCTATGGCAGCACAGGAGTCTGAACAAACGGGCCACCCCCTTTGAATGCAGATATGATTCCAATGCGGGGACACGCCCAATCTGAGCATTTGTGCAGGAGTGTTCAATTTTCTTCGCTGTGGTTAGACATTTCAGTGTTTGGGGGGCCACTGAGGCTTTTGGAGAAGTGAACCTATCTGATTTTCCTCCATGTTTGTTTTTTGAAAGGCTTGGCCAATCCCCATGGAGATATTCATTACTTCCATTGTTTCTCAAACTGTGACTTCATCACCCTGTCACTTAGGAGGCGACAGAGCTGGGACAGAGATACCTTTATCCGTATTCACATCTTCATGTATGGGTTGGAAGCAGGCAGCAGCTTACACCTAAATGTGGCCTTTCGGCTATACATCCTGTTTACCACGAGCGTTCTTTTTATTGTCTTTGTCTTATTTTTTCCCTTCTTCAATGAGGTTGATTAACACATAAGGAAATGTGAGTCTTAATGTGGTGCCTAAATGAGGAGGGGAGGGATCCATTAAAATGTGAGGTATTTGAAATTATGCCCCTTAATACACGACCTGGGAAAACAGTTCTTCATCTCTGGATCTTAACCCTTTCAATGACCCTGGGCTGATAGTTCCTAAGAAATCATGCTTTCATGTATGATAGAAATACCTGGGGGCAGAGGCCAGGACTTGGCTAGGAAGTCTGTTCTCAGTATGCCTGTGGAGCCTGAGGAAGTATTTGGGGCCCTGACTGAGCTGAGGTTAATGCCCAGGTATAAGAATATGGGGCACCTGAACGGCTCAGTCGGTTAAGCAGCTGACTTCGGCTCAGGTCATGATCTTGCAGTTTGTGAGTTCAAGCCCCGCGTTGGGCTCTGTGCTGACAGCTCAGAGCCTGGACCCTGCTTCAGATTCTGTGTCTCCCTCTCTTTCTGCCCCTCCCCTGCTCATGCTCTGTCTCTCTGTCTTTCAAAAAAAAAAAAAAAAAGAATATGAAAACCCTATAGCACCTGGGACTCCGTGAGGATGTTTCCAAGTATTTGTCTCTGATCCAGGGAACTTTGTCACAGTCTCGCTCAGGTACAGATGGTCCCTGCATAATGCTGTGTGTAAGGATAAAGATGACAATATTATAAAGATGGACTGTCTGGGAAGGCCAGGTGAGTATTCTTTGCCCTTCACCTTCTAGGTTCTTCTGTACAAAAACCTGCTCTGGTGAGTTCCGAAGCCCATGTGCGAGGTCGTTTAGACACGCAGAAATCTGATTTTAGCGGGACAGTCCCCTCATGTTCTGTAAATGACCTCCTCTTTGTTTCAGGTAAACCCAAATCTTCTGAGCCTTCTTTCTGGCGAGAGCATTTGTCAAACTGAGTGTTTGCTCTGAGCTCTCATTAATGCCTGTGAGTGGAAATGTTTCTCCTTTTTGTCTATGTCTGTGATGTTTCTCTTTCCGTGAAAGGTGCCTTTCAACTGACTCAGTGATGAAATTTCCACATTACATGGTAGAGAATGAAAGATTTATAACCAGGCAGTGGTTATGAGTTTGATTGTGAAAGAGGAATAAGGATAGAAGGACCCTGGCATCTACAGAGATGAGACCTTCCGAGATAAATTGAAAATCATTCTGATCATCTGTTGACTGTAACTCCCACAGACCATGTACGCGAGGTGACCTGCCTTTCCAGGTAGGGCCAGTTGTCCCTCCTTTGTGCTGTTCTATGAGTCTTCATAGCATCGCAGGGAGAGAACACACCAGGTGCTCTGGTTCTCTGTGTCCACCATCCCCCACCTTCAGTATGAATGTTACATGTCCTACTGATACCTGGACCAAGCCTCCCTCTCACAAAATTGAAATGTCAGGTATATAAAATGTTGTCATGTTGCTTTGAGGTCAGTAGAACAGGTGGGAAATAAATTTGGGGCTGAAGGAAGTATTTGGATTGGAGGATGTTTTTATTAACTCAAGGGAAGAATGGTAGATCATGTACTCAAGTCTGTCACATTCCCAACATAACCACAGTGTACGGTAATTTTAATTGTAAGCAACCACAATGTCTATTGCAACATTGCCATTATATACATGAGAATTTATTATTTAGTTACTAAAACATTTTAAAATCTTTATTTATTTTTGAGAGAGAGACAGACAGAGTGTGAGTAGGGGAGGGGCAGGCAGAGAGAGAGGAAGACATAGAATCTGAAGCAGGCTCCAGGCTCCGAGCTGTCAGCACAGAGCCCAACATGGGGCTCGAACTCACGAACCTCGAGATCATGACCTGAGCCAAAGTCAGCTGTTCAACCAACTGAGTGGCCCAGGTGCCCTAAGAATATATAATTTATTATGGTAGTTGGAGAAGTTGGGTTGCCCGACATTTCACATGAAATCACTGTAGTTCTCAGTCATTTGTATAAATATCTCCACTTTCCCAGCTCATGCTCCACTCCACCACTCTGCTACTGTTCTTGAGACCCATTTGCCCATAGAGCCCAAAGTCAGAACAACAATATCTCATGTGATCATTTCAAAAGAGACACATGGGTGCCTTTGTCTAGAACCTTTCTTAATGCAGCAATGGGTGAGGGGCGTATCGCCCTCATGGAGGGGTAGAGAGCACAGCTTGACCATCCAAGGCCTCTTGTAAGTGGCCAAGGAAAGTTGAAGTTAGTATAATTCCTTTCTGCCAGTTGAGAAGCTGAGTGGGCTCCTCTCTCTCCTGCACATCAGCTGTGTCCTTTGAAAGGCATTTCTGTCATTCCCCTTCACAGGGGCTGAGTAAACCATGTGGCTATCCCTCTCTCCTACCCACATTCTCAGTCACTGAGGCACACATTCCTACATTCAAATGTTAGTTCCTCAGAGTGTCATGATTTTTTTTGTGCTAACTCCAGGTGTGATGATGTATGGGTAATCAGTTCAAATGTTAAAATATTGACACATCTGTGATATGGTTGACTTCTGGTGATTGTTGACCCTAGTAATTTTGATGAAGACTTTCCTGAAAGATAATGGAGTTTCAATGAGTTGGATATCAGATTGTAGGAGAACAGTAGACATACACATAGACAGTTAGGTCTAGAAGGAACCACAGAAAATATAAGCTCCAATCTTTCCAGTTACAGATTGGGGAAGATGAAAGTTGCAGGGCTTTTGGTGAATTTTTTCATGAAGTTCAAGTAATTACTCCTATTTATTTAGAGATAAACAAGGCTGGGGTGATCCACATGGAGATTTTGGAGAATCAGGAAAGGAATGAAAGTTGGAGCTGTGTTCTCCTACTTCCATTCTCTGTGAATTTATTCATATTCTGCAAAATGAAATGTTTGCATCTTCACCCTCATGTCCTTACTGATTATGTAGCCAGGGAGATAGTTCTGCATATGGCAACCATCTGGCTATAATCTCTTGTAAGTATTTACTGGACTAGGGCCTGTGAACCACATAATCCTACCCGGATATAAACATTGAGAGATACTTGTTGATGTTTTGAAATATTTGCAGTCTGAATCTCTTGAAATTGTACCTGCTTACAGAGGGTTCTGTCATTTTGCTGCATTAAGCTTTAGCCAAGGAACGTTCCTTCTGTTTCAGGCCATCCTCTTCAGCTACCTGGGAGAGAAGCTCAGAGAGAAGAGGAAGCTGGGATGAGACAAGATCACTCACTCATTTTGAAGGTGCTAGGAGACAGAGCCCAGGAAGTTGGCCTCGTAACATCAGTGTGAGAGTGGCTGTACCTGTAAGGGATCCTCTGTGACATCATGTCTCAGACAGGAAAGGGCTTCTGAGACCCTCATTACCTGTACTGAAATGAAATTGATAATAAACATTTTGATAGTCTCAGAAAAGTGCTATGTTTAAAGGAATTCTTTACTGAAGGTCTATCCTCCTCCATTTCATTTCTTTTTTTAAATTAAAAAAAAAATGGTTTAAGAGAGAGAGAGCGCATGAGTTGGGGAGAAGGGCAGAAGGAGAGAGAGAATCTCAAGCAAGCTCCATGCTCATCACGGAGCCCAACGTGGGGCTCGATCCCATGACCTGAGCCTGAAACCATGAGTCAGACGCTCAACTGAGCCACCCAGGAGCCCCCCATTTATTTTAATAAATCAAAATCCGAAGCACACTTCTGTTGTCCTATGTGAGTGACCTGTGCTATTTCCTTTCTTAGTGCAACATGTAGTTTCATGGTCGTAGGTGAAGAGATGCTCATGATTCTTACCAGAATGAGCAGGCACTGAATCCAGGACCAGAGGTGAGCCTTTCCTCCCTCCACCCAACATGATTTCACAGACAAATCACATCAATAGTCTAAAGTGTTTTGTCCAGATTACATCATTTTCTTGCACAAATGCCATGCTCCTCCCCCATCCTACAATGGAATATTGCTTTGCAGATAGATGTGTGGGGAAGGAACTCCTGTAGCTTTTCTTATTCTTCCTTAAGCTCTATGACCCCTCAAATATGCTTCTACTACCAAGTTAAAGTAATGTGATTTCTCTTCCACATAAGCACACACTTCTCCTTCATCTTCACCTACCACACGCGTTTGCTTACCAAGTTCTACGGTTTCTTTGCTCTTCGTCTCTGCTTATCTCTCTTAACCATAGGCGAGATCTTTGGCATGGTCCTAGAGCATCCTCGTTTTTCCCTGTGCAATTATAACTGCTTCACAATTCAGATTATGGAGTTAATCTGTCCCCTTTTCATGCTCTGCTCCACATTTCATCACAGGTAGCCTAAAAATCATGTTTCAACATATTCTTTCCTTGTGTAAAGGTCTCTGCTGGCCCTTCATCAACTATCTTAGTGCTCTTATACTGTGGCATTCAATGGATCAACTTCCATACTAAAAAGGAATGAAGATTCCTTTTTTTCGAAGAAAGCACATGTTAAGAAGTACATGGAACAGACTCTTAGCTCACTCCCAAACTCTGTGCTTTTCTTCTTCAGGCACATGGCTTTTCAGCAAGAGGCTATGTGTCTTAACTTCCCCGGCAGCAAGTAGTAGCTGTAGTAGCTGTAGTAGTAGTAGTGGTAGTGAACTAAACCAATAGAATGCTAATAAATGATCCATGCTGAATCTATGTCATTGGCTAAACGAAAAATGTTTTCTCTGTCCTTGAGTTGGAAATGGAACCAGCTGAAGTCACCTTAGAAGCACTGTTTAATTAATTAATTAATTAATTTACATGCAAGTTAGTATATAGTGCAATAATGATTTCAGGAGTAGATTCCAGTGATTCATCCCCTATGTATAACACCCAGTGCTCGTCCCCAACAAGCGTCCTCCTTAATGCCCATCCCCCCTCCCACAACCCCTCCAGCAACCCTCAGTTTGTTCTCCATATTTAAGAGTCTCTTATGTTTTGTCCCCCTCCTTGTTTTTATATTAGTTTTGCTTCCCTTATGTTTACCTGTTTTGTATCTTAAATTCCTCATATGAGTGAAGTCATATGATATTTATCTTTCTGTGGCTAATTTCATTTAACATAATGCTCTCTAGTTCCATCCACATAGTTGCAAATGACAAGAATTCATTCTTTTTGATTGTCAAGTAATACTTCATTGTATACACACACACACACACACACACACATATATATATATATATATATATATATACCATATCTTTATCCATTCATCTATTGATGGACATTTGGGCTCTTTCCATACTTTGGCTATTGTCAATAGGGCTGTTATAAACATTGGGGTACACTTGCCCCTTCAAAACAGCATGCCTGTATCCCTTGGATAAATACCTAGTACTGTAATTGCTGGGTCATAGAGTAGTTCTACTTTTAATTTTTTGAGGAACCTCCATATCGTTTTCCAGAGTGGCTGCACCAGTTTGCGTTCCCACCAGCAGTGTCTGCATCCTCACCAACATCTGTTGCTGCTTGAGTTGTTAATTATAGACATTCTGACTGGTGTGAGGTGGTATCTCATTGTGGTTTTAATTTGTATTACCCTGATCATGAGTGGTGTTGAGCTTTTTTTCATATGTCTTTTAGCCATCTAGATGGCTTCTTGGGAGAAGTGTCTATTCATGTCTTCTGCCCATTTCTTCACTGGATTATTTGTTATTTGGGTGCTGAGTTTGATAAGTCCTTTATAGATTTTGGATACTAACCCTTTATCCAACATGTCATTTGCAAATATCTTCTCCCATTCTGTCAGTTGCCTTTAAGTTTTTCTGATTGTTTCCTTCACTGTGCAAAAGCTTTTTATCTTGATGAGTCCTAATAGTTCATTTTTGCTTTTGTTCCCCTTGCCACTGGAGACATGTTGAGTAAGAAGTTGCTGCAGCCAAGGTCAAAGAGGTTTTTGCCTGCTTTCTCCTTGAGGATTTAAGGGTTTCCTGTCTTACATGTAGGCCTTTCATCCGTTTTGAGTTTATTTTTGTGTATGGTGTAAGAAAGTGGTCCAGGTTCATTCTTCTGCGTGTTGCTGTCCAGTTCTCCCAGCACCATTTGCTGAAGAGACTGTCTTTATTCCATTGGATATTCTTTCCTGCTTCATCAAAGATTAGTTGGCCATACGTTTGTGGGCCCATTTCTGGCTTCTTTATTCTGTTCCATTGAACTAAGTGGCTGTTTTTGTGCTTGTAACACACTGTCGTGATGACTACAGCTTTGTAATATAGCTTGAAGTCCAGGATTGTGATGTCTCCAGCTTTGGTTTTCTTTTTCAAGATTGCTTTAGGGGCGCCTGGGTGGCTTAGTCAGTTAAGCGTCCGACTTTCGCTTAGGTCATGATCTCGCGGTTCGTGGGTTCGAGCCCCGCGTCGGGCTCTGTGCTGACTGCCAGCTCAGAGCCTGGAGCCTGTTTCAGTCTGTGACTCCCTCTCTCTCTGGCCCTCCCCTGCTCACGCTGTCTCTCTCTCTGTCTCCTAGAAATAAATAAAAAACATAAAAAAAAAGATTGCTTTAGCTATTTGGGATCTTTTCTGGTTCCATACAAATTTTAGGATTGTTTGTTCTAGCTCTGTGAAGAATATGGGTATTATTTTGATAGGGATTGCATTGAATATGTAGATTGTTTTGGGTAAAATTGGCATTTTAACAATACTTGTTCTTCCAATTCATGAGCATGGAATATTTTTCCGATTTTTTTGTGTGTCTTCTTCAATTAGAAGCCCTGTTAGAGTAAGGAATACAGCTTTTCCAGCCATGATTCTTGGGGTCATATGTACAGCAGAGGCCACCTCTTTCCCCTTCACATTTCCCTTAGAGAGAATAAACTTCTTTGTTCACTAATCATCATACTATTTGGCTTCTTTGTTAGAGTTGCCTGTACTGTAACTTTATATTCTTCTGTTTGTGGTGTTAGTATATCACAAAAACTGCTGGTCCAGAGCTTAAAATATCACAGTTCTTAACATAATAGACAAATCTGACTCATTTTACCTAACATGTAGCTTAGGTACCAGCTGTGCCAATAAATAGATGATAGATAGATAGATAGATAGATAGATAGATAGATATTAAGTTTATTTATTTATTTTGAAAGAAAGAGTCTGTAGTATGTGTGGGGGAGGGTCAGAGAGAGAGACAGAGAGACAGAGAATCCCAAGCAGGCTCTGTGCATCAACACAGAGCCTGATGCAGGGCTTGATCTTGTAGATTGTGACCTGAGCTGAAATTAAGAGTCAGATACTTACCTGACTGAGACACTTAGGTGCCCGTGTAGTTTTTACTGTTATCTGAGCGCTGTAGTCCTTTACTCAATGTCATGCCACATGCTCACTGTTCCTTTTCCTGTGTGGTCTTCCCCTCAAAATGCCCTGTACCCTCCCTCTCTCTCAGACACTCCTTTTTCACTTACTAGTTAGTTTACCTTAAAACTGCTGGATCATAGAGAACCGAAAACTGTGTAGTGCTTAAAAACAAAAGTGATTCGTTTTGCACTTGCAGAGCAGATTGATTTGATTCCACTGGTTAATGGGGCTTCATCCCATCCTGTGACTCCTCCACCCATTTGGTGGTCAGTCATCTGTATTCACTCATGGAAGGGGAAAGAGCGTGGAGAAAGCACAGAGGTGGCCCACATTCCTTGGCTGAGACCCAGTCACATAATCACGTTAAATAGGCTGAGACATATAGCCGACGCATCTACTAAAAATCATATTACTTAAAAGAAGGTATGGAATATGGTGGGCCATTAATGATCCTATTAAGAGAAAAGCGAGGAATGTATAAAGAAATGCTCACTTTGACATACCAAAACCAAATGGTTGAAAACAAAAAAAGAAAAAATCTTAAAAACAGCAAGAGAAAAATGACTTCTGTACAATATGTTTTGTGCTAGAGTTAATGGAAATTCAAAGAGAACTAATGTAGTAAGAATGAAAAGTCTTTATTTTACATAGATGAACAATATACATTCACTTGTAATCCAGACAAGGATAAATAAAAGACTGACAGAAACGTTTTAAAACATTAACAGTAATTATGTCAGAATGGTAGAATTATTAGTATTTATTATTCTTTTTAATATTTTCCATATTTTTAATGAAATATGCATTCATTTTCTAATAAAAAGACTGATGTTTCCATAAATAGAAAAAGGGATATCTCTGCAATTTTACATAGGAAACCTTTTATTGAAAGACAAAATATTAATTAAACATATCTTAATAAGTCAGGGTTAAATTTTAATATTTGAACTCTGTAGTATATTTCCTCATAATATTTACTGCAAACATAATGCATAATGTCCTGGGATTTACGTCAAATCTAAGAGATCAAAGTCTTGTTCTCTTTTGAAAAGAAGCTTACAAAACAAACTTCTCTTGGAACAAGGCTAATTATTCTTTCTTTTTTTTTTTTTAATTTTTTAATGTATTTATTAG